CAACAGTAGTTCTAATATTTTCTGCCTGTACCTCTACGAATCATTTTTCACACTCCCTTGGGTAGAGGCACTTCATATTGGAGATCTCTGATCTAGTGAGCAAAATTTTTATCACCCCCGATTCAGCACCTCCCTTTTGGTCAGTGCCAAGAGACAGTGCTTTCTGAATTACTCTTCTTTTCTTTGGTGCCGCTGTTGTCCACCTTTCCTTCTGATAATCCATACTTTCTTTGTGAGTGTTTTTATCTCTAACTAAGTAGGAGTCAATCTGAGATTCAAGTAGGCCTGTGAGACTGTTTCCTACTAAATGTTGATTTAAAGTCCTATTCTCAGGTTCTTAGTGGTGTCTCCACAAACTGCCTACAACAATTATATGTGAAACATAACATAAAAATTTATGAGCAACTCAACAAGTTGAAAAACTCATCACACTGGCAAAACTTTCTTTTCGTAAAACGAGAAATCCTGTTTAATAAGACTAGATTCTCAAGGCTGCCTGTGCATCAGAATTACCCATGGTGCTGAGAAAAACAAAAGCGAAAAAAAAGCCCCATGAGTTCTTGGACCCCCACCTGCATTAGTTAGGATTCGAGTCATCTGTGAATCATTAAAGACCTACAATGATACTGGCTTACCCATGGGAGGAGTTACCCCCCCCTATTACATAAATGATTGTTCAAAGAGAATAGCAACTCGGCTCCATGAGGTCCTGGAGGATCAAGCTCTTTACAGCTCTCCATTCTGCTAGGGCATGGCCTTTGTCCTCGTGGTCCAGTATAGTAGGTCGAAGTGTAGTTACCACATCTGTGCTCCAGGCAGCAAGATGGAGGAAGGGACAGAAAGGAAACAGGAAAATGATGCAAATCATCCAACTCTTAAGGTGGGTTCCCAAAGGCTGCCATGTGACACTTCCTCTTACATCCCATTGTCTAGATATTAGTCACATGTTCACAACTGGATGCGAGAGAAGCTGACAAATATATTATTTATTCTGAGCAACCAAATGATCAGCTAAAAATTGTGAAGTTTTTTTGGGGGGGTTGGGGGGGAGATCAGCCCTGAGCTAACATCCGTGCTAATCCTCCTCTTTTTGCTGAGAAACACCGGCTCTGTGCTAACATCTATTGCCAATCCTCCTCCTTTTTTTTTTTTTTTTTGCAAAGTTTATTACTACAGAAGAAGAGAAACATTGGGGGACAGCCAACAGTCTCTGCCAAAATTTGCAAATCAGCAACTCTCTAGGCCTCGGCGGGCTCCAGGAATCCAAGTGCACTTATGATTTGGTTGGAGAAGGTTTTGCCCTACCCCATCCTAAAGATCTCACATTATGGCTAAAATTAGCAACTACTTCTGGTAGCGACTGCTTCCTCTTAGAGAAGGTGGAATAACTCTAACTATGAAAGATGTGAGCAAGATAGATTGTACCAGCTCTGCTCATGTCATCTTATCAGATGCTTTCAGACACTCATTCTGCCAAGCTATTTTAAGTTTGGTGAAAGAAAACAAATATTACAACTGAAATGCCCTGGAATTCTTTGGACAAGAATTAAAATCTCTGTTCATCTCTCTCATGTTCCTCTTTCTCAGGTTACTAGAAAAAAAAGTACTAAGAGGAACAGACAAGATGTATTCTTTTTCTAAAAATTTGGTCCCATTAGAGAGACCAATCTAAATAGAGACTTTCCCTATACTTTTGTCAACTAACTTTTGTTTAAAAAGATACAGCAATAAACAGAAGAAAGCGTTTTTGGCTTGAAAGGTCTACACAGAGTGCCCTAGAAACAATATTGGGTTTGCACAACTCTAGGGGGAGCTATTCACGTTGTTTATAAGTGAATGGCAACCCGTTGGAGCACAATATGAATGGTGTCCCTCAGTGTTGTGTAATATTGCTGTCCTGCAAGGAAGCAGTATAACTTGTCTGTTAATCTCAACATATGCATAAGCTGGCAAAATAAGCTGATGGCACTTATAGTCCCAAGAATAGTTGAAGACTACACTGTTCTTGCAGAAAGCTGTTTTTAAACCTAGTCCAGAGAACTTGATTTATATTAATCTCATCAATGGCTACCAAGAGGGTTCAGACAATCTAATAAGCCTGTAATGTTTCTGATTTCTAGGCATCTATTTTAAAGACAAATATAAGACCCTAGAAATTCCAGGCTCCTACAGTGCTGTGGAGTATGATTTGCATACACAGTTCTGTGCCATCATTAATCAGGGGAGTTTGGGATCCCTCAATTTATTTATCTTGTGCACACCTGTTCCTGCTGGAAATGAATAAGTAGACAGCAACTGCAGCTACGCAGTGGCTTTACTGATTTAAGGAACATCATTAGTCTCATCTTTAAAGCTGGAGTATCGTGGCAAAGCTTCAATGGTGCTTCTAATATATAGTTCTCATCAGAGTCAATTACCATTAGAACACATTTTTAAAATGTCATTCAGAAGCTGTTGTAGGACCCAAAAAATTGGAATTAGTTTTGCCTCCTTTGATATAAAATAAGAATAAATGAACTCATATTTCTTCTCCCCATTTTATACATAGAGTATTGGTCCTTAACTTTATTGGGTCATAGACACTTTTGAGAATATGATGTAAGATATGGTACCTCTTAGAAATGCTCTCAGATACATATATGCAAACATTAGCATAAAATTTCAGGGATTATTGACTCATAAAATCTATTCGTAGACACCCTTGCTTCAAAGTCCCAATCTAGAGAATAGTGTAGGGTGAAAATGAGTTTTAGGAACTCAAAATAGAATTCACTCAAGGTCTAAAACAGACACACACCAAGGTCTTAATGTGTGTGTGTTTTAACATTAATATGAAAATAAGTCACTTTGGAGACAAAGTTACCATTTTCAGGAATCTTTTCTAATTGATGTCTTTAATTTCGAGGGCCAATTTATATAAAATCCAGCAATATACATCTCAAAAATTATTCTAAATTGAACTACAATTCAAGGCACACTCTATGGGTTTTTTGTTTTTTTCAGTGGAAAACTTATACTAGAGTCATTCTCAAGATTCCTCTATCAGAAGAGAAATTTTCATAATTTTGTTTGGGTTCACAGGTGAAAATATTGTGAAAACAGTTCATTTATACCATACTGAAGAACAACTTAAGCCCATTTGTTTATTTATTTACTTATTTATTAACAACTTTATTGAGATATAATTCATATACCATACAATACACCCATTTAAAATATACAACTTAATGGTTTTTAGTAGATTCATAGAGTTATGTAACCATCACCACAACAATTTCAGAACATTTTCTTCAACCCAGAAAGAAACCCTGTACCCATTAGCAGTCGCTCCCCCTTCCCCACCCAATCATTCCAGCCTTAGGCAACCTCTAATCTGCTTTCTGTCTCTATAGATTTGCCTGTTCTGGACATTTCATATAAATGTCCATACAATATGGGGCCTTTTGTGACTGGCTTCTTTCACTTAGCATAACATTTTCAAGGTTCACCATGTTGTAGCATGTGTCAGTATTTCATTTCTTTTCATAGCCAAATATTCTATTGTACGGCTATTGTACACTTTGTTTATCCATTCATCAGGTGATGGAGATTTAGATTGTTTCCAATTTGGGGCTATTATGAATAATTCTGCTATAAACATTTGTGTACAAGTTTTTATGTTGACCAGCCCCTCAACTTTTAACCATACAAAAGTAAAAAGAGAAGAACTCCTATAATTACAACAAAATTATACAAAATTTGTTTTGGATTGATTTTAGATTTTTCAAGACTCAACAATTTCCAAACCCAACATCACAGAAGCTTATCATGACAGGTAAATTGGCATCATTACTCTATCCCAGAATGAGAGGAGATTAGACGTTCTCTAAGATCCCTTCAACTTACTGCTATCTATTACTTATCCATGAATTGAAGAGTAAAGAAAGACCAGTTGTGGACTTGCTCTGATCTTGAGGAAATTATCAGCAAACATTACTAAGCCCCTTGCAAGCACCAAGCATAACTGTGTACACATGAATGGGCCTTGGACAGAAGTAATATATTGAGCATGACTTGCCAAGCTACTCTGAGTTCCCATTCTGGTTGGACGTACTTGGCTCCTTCACCAATTCCCAACGGCGTTTTGCTTACAACTTTAACACTGATCTGCCTTTGATACCCTGCCTCTCTTTCTGGTTACTACCTCTGCCTCTCCTTAGGCAGTTCTCCATGCTTACTCACAGAGTCCTTCACTGCTGACTCTACTCTGCCAACCGTCTCTACTCCACCTCTGAGACTATAGACTGAACTTTATCACAGGCTTCCATGCTGGATTAATGCCCCTCTGGATCCAGGTTTGACAAGAGCTGTGCAAAATGCTCAGGGGGTGCACAATGAATGTTTGTTGAATGAAGGATCCATAAGATTTCCTATCAGTGCTATGTGTGTGAGGTTGAAAGAGGTGAAATGAATTTGACTTAGCTGCATTTATCAGTTATTACTTGATGACATATTTCTCCAATGATCAAAGCACTCAGAAACCTCAACTTATTCCTGAGGCTCTCTCCTTAGCTATTATGGTATTAACACAAGTTTATTCATTGTGATTGAAATAATTTATCTGCTAGGGACAGATTCAGAGGCATAGGAAGCACATTCTTAAAGATTTGACCCATTAGGGCCGGCCCTGTGGCTTGGTGGTTAAGTGCGCGCGCTGCAATGCTGGCGGCCCGGGTTCGGATCCCGGGTGCGCATCGAGGCACCACTTCTCCGTCCATCCTGAGGC